CTCTTAAGTTTGACTCTTTTCTTCCTAATGCTTCTTTACTTGCAACATCAACAACGCATCCATAGGCAGACATATTTATTTGAGGTTGATTTTCCTTAATCATTATTAATTGATGTATCTGAATAGCTAATCCAAGAAAAAACTGGCTATCGAAGTGTAAAAGAGAATACACAGACGTGGTTAACTATATGTTAACTCCATTTCCTTTCTCTGATTTGTCTATTGTTTAATATAAGAAGCAAGTTTTACAGCTGTCAATCTACAGACGGTGTTTGGCTTTATGCGTGGGTTTTTTTTAAAAAAAATTAAACAAGAAATATCTGCCTAAAATCCCTTGGGTTTGGGGGATTTTATAAATGCAATCATAAAATAAATAAGCATATAAATGCATCTATAATGAAGCCTCGTTCTTGCAAGAGGCCCCTTTTAGGCTTCTAGAAGGAAGCAAATCCATAAAAATTTCCCCAAATAAAATTGCTGCAGCAAAGCTCACGACATATTGCTATTTAAACAATTAAACCACCAAGAGTATTTCATTGTAAGGCAATGCTGCACGATCTGCCTTAAAACCGGATCACGTGACTTAAGAACCAAACATGATATTGATTTTATACAAAACCAAAATGGTTGGTAAATGGATGCAAAGCCACTTGGGTCCTTTCTTTTTACAGAGATACAGAGGTAATTTTTGAAATAAATGGCGACTTGGTCGTTCTGACCTTTCTTTTAGGTGCCCACTGAACAACCTGGAGGAATATCGCTGTATTTTGGGAAACTATCAAGGATTAGACAAAGCAACGTCAATCCTCGATATATGTCCTTTGGAAGAATATCCCAAAAGGACAGGGTGACCATTTGCCATGGTCTTTCTAGGTGGTTAAAATCCACGGTCCAAAGATTTCCTCATGGTCTTTCTTCCAAGTTTTAACCAAGTCTTATTTGCTTCGTTTTTTTTAAAGTCAGCCAAGGTAGCTAAGAACCTTTCCCTTATAGTAGCCGGCTATTTTATAAAAGCTACGGACGGACAGAAACCTGGATTTCCCTGTGATATGCTCAAAATACCAGCAGGCACACTGCTAAGCAAACTGAATCTTAATCATTTCCAACCCAAGCCTAAACAGACTAAGATTAATGTAATTTATTCCTACATCAACATGTAACGAACAGAACCATTAATACCTTGTTCTTTACTATTGCAGTTTCCACTTTACTTTCAAAAGCCAATTCATTAAACTGAGATTTGCTTGCTGTGTCACAAACGGACGTGAATTTGTGTTTGAGATGCTGTGAATTTGTGCAAGATCTGGAGCATTTCTCAGACAGCGATTCAGTGGCTCTACCTTCTTGCTTTTATTATTTATATACCAGTGATAGCTTTATAAATACCCAAAACAGAGCAAAATCCCGTTTATAATTAGACAATGATTTCTTATCATTCTAATCGTTGAAATCGCAAAAATTGTACCTGGGTGCCATGCACAAAATGAAAGCTCATTGATAAAAATAACACATGCTTTCCATTTTCTCTTTGGATTTACTCTAGGTAGACTTGGGACAGAGTGCCAAACCATTCTGTCAAGCAACGAATACAATTGAATCAGATTTGTGCCTGCTGATGGTTAATTCCCTTTTCACACTGGTCACGTAAGACTGGGAGAAAAGATCCCATAAATTCTTTGTCTGACAGCAAGAAATCTCAGACAGACTTTTTCAACCTGGGAGCACATATTCCATTTTGCATTCCTTAAACACAAGATATAAGATCTGTCTCATTCATAGGCGTCCATTACAAGGTAGCATGACCTTACACACATTCAGATGTCATTGCAAAAGTTAAATGGTTGATGTGATGTCAATCCACCTCACCCCACAGACATCTACGGATTCACGGCAATACAAGGTGATCTGATGATTCATATGGGAGCATATGGGGAAAATTGGGAAAACCAATTTTCAAAATTATTCTATTTTCATGCAGTTTAGTAGGGCACTAAAACCCAGATTTCAAAGCTTAATATTGCTGAGAATGTGCATCACGTATAATTGTTTTGTGTGACATATGCTTTTGCTAATAATAATTAAAAATGTGTTCGTCAAGAAATTCTACCGAGAAAACTATCGGTAATAAAGAGCATTGTTTTAAGAATTCCCCTTGCTTTCAATCTTATAGCTCACAGCGAGTAACTAATTTATTTTAGCCTAATTGTGGAGAGTTTCCTGGGTATTCCCTGTTCTGAGAAATGCTTTGGTTGCATGCATTACTCTATTTGGTGTGCCTGGCTGTCCCTGTGTTTGTGTGTCTATACTTTTGCCAAAAAAAGAAAAAAGAAAAAAAGAGGAATGGGCTGATGATTAAGAGATTAAAAAAAAAAAATCTCCATTTCTTAATTTGGGAAAAGAAGGAAGTCAAAGCTATGTTGCATTTTATTTAATAAAAGTATGATTTTCCTAATAATTGCAACTTGTATTCATTGTCATTAAAATATACACACCATTTGTGCGACATGGTCAGGCTGGAGTTTATTAATGTATAGCACCTTGTTCGTTCTTACAAGGAACTGAATTACATGTGCTGAACAATGCTAGGCACACACATACCAGAGAGATATTCAACCATGTACAACTTGAGAACAGGACATGCTATTCCCAATAATTGTTCTAGGAGGTTTTTTTTTTTAAGGAAGCCTTTTTCAACCCCAAAGTCCTATTGATCAGTTGATCAAAAGGAGAAATGAGCGACTGAATGCAGATCCTCCTTTAAGGTAAATTGATGAAGAAGAGTTGAGCTTAAAAAAAAAAAAATCAATAGAATATGTGTTATAATATATTTTGTACCGGTCATTTGACTAAAGTGTTATGAACAAATTAAAAGATTGATGTATTTCAACTGGCATAATACAGGGAGCCTTCGTGTGTTTGTAGGCCTTGTTATGCCTATTACCTTTTTCTCACAGAATTCTTTCTTCCACACTGCCCGAAAGGACAACTTCTAAAATATTGGCAGGTTTTCATCAAAAAAACAGGTTTTGAATTCAATCTATTTCCTTGCCAAACCATTGTAAAGGACAAGCCATTTGCAAGGCAGTGTAGAGCCCCTGAAACAGTTGTAGCTAAGCCTAAATCTCACAAAATTATACAGCTAAAAATTACACGCATGCACACACATTCTCTCTCTCTCTCTCTCTCTCTCTCTCTATATATATATATATATATACATACACACACACACACACAAAAATACATATATGTAATAAAATATAATGGATGGATAGATAGGCAGGCAGGCAAGCAAACTGACAAGATACTATATCCTAATTCCTGATTGTAATTTTTCTTATTTTAAATGTACGTAGGATTCAGTTCCTAAAAAAATATATGCAGGCTTAATTTCTTCCCATTTCAATAGTTCTGAATGAACTGAGACAGCTGCTGGAAACTTCAAATTTTATATAAAATAAACCCTAGTTTTCTTTTGCACAGCTTTTACAAATGCATAGCATAAACTTCATTGTATTTTTTGCCGAATTTAGTCTTACCCTAAAATTAAGAGATTCATTGAAAGGACTGGTCTAATTATTCTTTAAAATATCTTCAAACAAAATATTTACTATCACAAACAACAGGAACTGTACTACTCCAAATATTGAACAAACAGCAGTAAGTTTTTAGATATTCAGGCGTCAGCAATGCATCCCATTTTTTATAATTGAAATATGCTGATATTACAAAGAACTAAAAAGTCAGCAAGTTTAAAGAATACCTAAATTTTTACTACCTTTTATCCCAAGAGGATGTGTTATCTTGATGCCCAGCTAATAATATGACTAGCAAAAAATATCCTTCGCACATCAGCTGTGATTTCAATTTTAGATACTACTGAAAGAATACAGAGTTACTACAAACTATCACCTCTGTCACACATCCAGGGTTTAAAGCAATCTCTGCGTAAAGTACTTTTTAACTAGATAACTTCTACTCCTTTACAATTTAATATTTTTGAATTTCTAAAATTAAATTTAGTAAATGCAAAAACAGATGCATCAGTCATTAAAAAAAAAACCTCGTTTCACCAGACCGAAATGTTTGATGTGCCAAGTTAAAAAAAAAATCCTGTGTGCAGCAAGTAATGCTGATTTTTTCATTCAGCCTATACATTTATATGTTAGTTATGCCTTGTTTTGCACATATTACATTCACATACAATTTTTAAAAAAAAGCTTAGATGCTTTAGTAATGATCGCATCCATCTTCTTTTATCCACTAATAATGTGGCACACAGATGTAAGTGTGTTACTGTCCTTCTCAAGGAAAGGTGATTGTCGTGAAATTATATTCCCGAAAAAACAGAACTGAATGAAATTATCCTTTCTATTGCAAAAGCCTATATTTGCATTTTTATTCTTAAAACAGAAGAAAAAGCTCCGATGTGTTAAAAAGTTAAGTTCTCTATTGCAGCCATCAGGAGCTGGCACAATTCAAAGCAGTTTCCTACCTGGGCAAAGAGATCCATTTGCTAAAGCTATTTCTTCAACAACTCTCCACCGGGCATTTATACAACAAGGGAATCAGAGGAGAGTGGCAAACTTAAAATGATTTTTTTTTTTTTTTATAAAAGGGAAAGGAAATCTGCAACAGTTTCAAGGCTAACTCTCAAGAACTGAAACCGTAGTTGTTGACCTTTGCGGCATTTTCACAAATTGAAAGCTAGCTGGGTTTGAAGCAAGGTTGGCACAAGGGATGATGTACCCGATGCTAAGAATAAAGAGCCAACCCCGTTGCCTTTTTCTATTGGGGGGGGGAGAGGATGATTGGGAGGGTTACTCGCCCTCAAGATCCCAAGGAAATCTAACAGATCCCCTTTCTATTTGTCGAAACTTCCTTTTTTTTTTCAGGCTCCGAACAGGGCTCCGCTCCCTCGGCGGGCATCGTCCTCGGGGAGAAAGAAAAGGCTCCCCAAACTCCATCAGAAGCGCTTACAAGGGAAAGAAACCAAGGCTTACCTAGGAGGAAGAAGCTTTCAGCCGCGGGTGAGGAGCCGAGAAGGGGGCCGCCCGCCCGTCTTTCAGCTCTGCGGGTCTCCTGCGAAAAGCAGAGGCGAGAAGAGCGGCCGCGATCGCGCCGGCGTGTGTGTGTTTTTGCAAAGCGGCTGCAGGCCTGGAGAGCAGCGCTGACCCAGCACGACTGTGCCAAGCCTCTGCAGCCCCCTGCCACCTCTTGCCCACCGCTGCCCACTCCTCCTCCTCCTCCACCCCCCCCCCCACGGCTGCCAGCTCCCGGCAATAACAATAGGCGAGGCAGAGCGGGCTGGCATGAGAGAGAGAGAGGGAGAGGGAGAGGGAGAGAGGGAGCGCCAGAGGAGAAAGGGAAAGGCGAGGGAAGCGTGCGTTAAGCTTGTCTGGCAGTTAACAAGTCTTGAATGAAGAATGTTAGCAAACAGACAAACAGCATGTCTGATGCATGCTAATATCCTCCGAGTCACCAGTGACAGTTTGAATAATGCAAGAGGCGGGGTGGGGGGGGGAGGAGAGAGAGAGAGAGAGAGAGAGAGAGAGAGAGAGAAATGAAAGAAGCAAGGAGAAAGTAAAAGGGAAAGGAAGAAGAGGAAGGAAGGAGAAAGTAAAAGGGAAAGAAAGAAAGAGGAAGGAGGGAAAGAAGGGAGGAGGGAGGAAGGAAGGAGGGAGGGAAGGAAGGAAGGAAATAAGGAGGGAGGGAAGGAAGGAGGGAGGGAGGAAAGGAAGGAAAGAAAGAAGGAAGGAGAGAGGGAAGGAAAGAGGGAGGGAAGGAAGAAAGAAGGAAGGAAAGAAAGAGGGAGGGGGAGGAAAGGAAAGGGAGGGAAGGAAGGAAGAAGGAAGGAAGGAGGGCGGGAGGGAAGGAAGGAAAGAGGGAGGGAGGAAAGGAAGGAAGGAAAGAAGGAGGGAGGGAAGGAAGGAAGGAAGGAAAGCGGGAGGGAGGAAAGGAAGGAGGGAGGGAGGGAAGAAAGGACAGAAAGAAGGAAGGAAGGAGGGAGGGAAGGAAGGAAGGGAATGCCCCTTCTTTATGCAATGCCTGCAGAAACTTTTCCCTACGCCCATTTTGCTGGACAAAATGGAATCACTGCCCTGCCTAGACCAACTCCGGGAAGGCTTAGCGCTTTCGCGGCTTCCCGCGTCCCCTCCTTCCCCCCCCCAGCCTCTCCATTCTGTCTGGAAAGGGGGCACCTGCCCTCCTCCCCAACCTTCAGCTGCTGCAACATCCCCGAGGGGGCTGGCAAGCGAGGCGGCTGGGGCTGGGTGGGAGAGAGAGAGAGAGAACACAAGACAAGCTCCGGCCAAAGCGAACCGAAGGCGCCGGAGACCTTCTCCCTGCTCCCCGCAAACCCAAACCGGCTCCGGGATGCGGCGCCCAGAGGAGTCGCCCGGCTCCCGTGTTGTGTTTGTTTGAACCTTCCGCTGCCCGCCCTACACGTGAAGCCCAGTCAGGACGGGGAACTGGGACGGGCGTTGGGGGCGTCCACGCGGGCGCGGCAAAACGGAGGCGCAAAGGGGAAAAGCGCCGGCAAAAAAGGGGCATTTTTCCCCCTCTTCTCCCCCCCCTCTCAAAAATATCAGGCCGGCGGGAGAGTCACGCAGCCCCCGCAGGCTATTGCAAGCCGTCCGGCCAGGACCGCTCGGTGTAGCAGCCGCCCGGCTAAAGAACCCCACACACGGACCCGGGCGGCCCCGAGGCCCAGGCTTGGCGCAGCCCAGAGGGTTGGAGCCGAGGATGAACCAGGCCTCCTCCTCCTCTTTCCCCTCCTCCTCCGACGCACACACGCACGCACCTCCTCCTGGCTTGCTTGCACGCGCACAAACACCCACACACACATAGCCCCGCGCGCTCCCGAGACAGGCGTGCAAGAGACGCGCCGGCCTCCAGTCGGGCCCGGCGTTGAGCCGGGTGGCGGTGTTTAGTTTGCGCTCCTTCGGCCTCCCGCGATTTTGCACCGCCGCTCTGGCCTCGTCAGTTGCGGGACGGGAGCGGCCGTGCCAACGCGGGAAGGGAAGGGAAGCCGGGGTGGTGGTGGAGGAAAAGGCAGGCGCTTTTCCACACGTGCGCGCTTTTGCGCGCGCGGGAGCCAGATGTTAAAAAGAGGGAGAGCGCGGCCGGGGGGAAAAAAAGAAGAAAGAGGAGGAGGAGGAGGAGGGAAAGACGGTCGGATTCCGCTTTCGACACGGCCTCGCCTCTTCCTTCGTGGGAAGGGGGGGCAGAGAGAGAAAGGAGTGAAGGGGGGAAAAACGGCGAGGCCCGCCTTGCACACAAAGACCCCTCCGACTTTGGCACCCGGCTTGGAGAGGGCGGCGAGGTGGCATCCCCGTCGGAAACTCAGCCCGTGGAGGGGGCGCTGTTGCGGCTTTCCGGCCCCCCCCACCCAATTACCACAACCCCTTTCCCCAAAATCCCAGTCAAGACACGGGGGGTGGGGGGGCAGTTTGGCTGCTCGCCCGGCGCCGACTTCCAAAAAAAAACACCCGAGCTTTGTATTTTGGTTCGCTCCGCTGCCGGCATGGGAAAGGCCGCGCTAAGCTGTTGGCACAGCCCCGGAGAAGGGAAAGGGGGAAAAAGAAAAGAAGAAAAAAAAAAAAGGCCCTTCAGGGCAGGCGGTCACGCGCGTGGAGGGGGGGCTTGGTCACGCGCGTGGAGGGGGCTCGGTCACGCGCGTGGTGGTGGGGGAAGCTCGGCCACGCGCGCCCTCGACTTTGCCTAACTCGTGGCTCCTCTCCACGCGCCCGCCGCGCTTGAAAGAACCACTTCCTGCCCCGCGAGGGTTTGGCTGGAGCTGCTCGGAGGGCCGCTTCCTTCTCAGGCTGCCTGCCCTGCGGCCCCTCGGTTCCTTTTCCAGCGCCCGTCGCGGAGCGGGAGCGCGCCGCCGGAGAGACCCGCCGCCGCCTCCTCCTCTTCTGCAAGGTGGGGCGTCCTTTTAGCCTCGCCGGTTCAAGTTCAAGGCTTTCCCGGCCGAGCCAGGCGGGGCTTTGGGGAAGGGCGAGCCGAGTTCAAGGGCTGGAAGCGAGTCGCCTTCAGGAGCCGCCCGACCCCGGGCTTGCTTGGCTCTTTGCGGGCTGGGTGCTTGAGGCAGCGGTGGCGGCGGCGGCGGCGAGCCGAAGCTCCTTGGTGGGTTAAAAACGACAGGGAAGGCCCGGGCAACTTTCTTTTTCTTCCTTTTACACTGTTGCACACACAACAACAACAACACACCGTTCCTTGGTGTGCCTATTTTGACACACAACACACACACACACACCTCGGTGTTTCTCCCCATCCAACTGTCCTTGTGCGTCACATCTCGCCATTTCAATCAACCAATTGAAACCCCACTTTCTTCTTATAAATAGATAAAAGTCAATTTTTTTCTCGATTAGTGGATTTGGAAATGAATGGCTCACGCGCACATTGCACACCCATGCACACACACACACACACACACACACACACACACACACTTGAAGCGCCAAAAGGGCTTTTGAGTCTTGATTAATTCACCGGAGCCTTTTTTTTTTTTTTTTTTTGGAAGCATAATTTCAGGGTTCGGTCATGGGAACTTATTTTGGGCAAGCCCCTTTGCTTAGGGAGGGGGTGGGTAAATAAAAGATCCAGTGCGATTCTATCCACGTTTTATAGAGATCACAGAAGTGAGTGTGGGATTGTAACCCAAGGCATTGTCGTGGACGGTGCGTAAGATTTGTACTTGGAAGCATTCACTGCAAAGGTTTCTTGTCACTTCTCTGGCTTGGCTGCCGTCACTTTCGGTGCTTGATAATATGATAAATTTCTCCCTCCATTTCTCTGCAAAATTCTCCTTAAAATGGCCTTTTATAAAGAGTGGGACATCCCTGTCTGGGCAAGTCTTAATTCAAGGCACATTTTCACAGCAAGTCACAGAGCCCAAAACCACCAATGCTTTCCTCCACCTGCAGAGCCCTGCTGAACATTTAAGATCTGGCAACCTTTTGCAACCAGAAAACTCAAGTTGCAACTCCTGGTCCAAACACACAATGTAGCCCATTTTAACAACTAGCATAGAAAAGGAAATTTAAAACTACAGCACAACAATGTCTGCTGTCTTTAAAAAAAAAAAAAGGGCACTTTGCCAGCTATTAAAAAAAGTCTTTGCTCTTTGCTTTTCCATGAAGCTTCCTTTGTTTGTCTATTTTTTATTTCTCCTTGATTTTTTTTTCTTTTTAATTCCTTTTTTCAAGATGGAGGCTGTCCACAAGTGTTTTCAGTATTTTTTTTAGAAGGTGGAACACTTAAGGCCATTTAAATACAGAAAAGGTTACCATGTTATATCACATTTTCCTATGATTGTGAACATACTGGATTATCCAGTAAGTGGTCTATATGATTATTTCAGCTGGTTTGCTGTAGATTTCTAGCTTTAGCTTAGGTGACAATGTCCACTGACAAATTCAAATCCACAGTTTTAGTGGAACTGTTGTGAAATACTGATTTAATTTTTGCAAATGATGGATACTTTATTATGTCACCTCAGAGACATGCAACCGTTACCTATCCCAATACCATTAAATAGCTAATATTTGGAAGTTATATACTAGGTAATCAATTCACTGTGACATCAAATATAAAACATCATAGCAGAACAGTAAAATAAAAATATTTGCACACTTTCACGTCTTTTAAATCCTTAAATTAATCCTAGAATTTAGGATGGTAGGATTACAAAAAAAAATTTTTTCCAATAGGAACTGTTACTTCACAATAGCATCCATTCCAAACTATTCCCAAATTTTTTAATTTCTGGAATTCTAGCATCCAAAACATTAAATCATTGTGGAAAATCAGAATAATTATCACACAATGTTTAAAGAAATGTATGGTATGAACATTGTTTTTAAAATGAATTGATCATTTTTGTGTTTCAGTGAATTTTTAGACATTGCATTATGCTTTTTTTCAACTGTTCGTTTTCTCTATTTCCAGTACGAAATTTATTTTGAAATAATCCAAGGCCTCTTCTCAGCCTTCTTGAATTAAGGGTCATAAAAAGGGAGTTTGTGTAAATTTATATATTTGTATCCCATAACTGTCCTAATTTAATTTCCTTATGTGTAGACTAAATGCTGGTTACAGTATAATCTTTAAAATGGCAAAAATTATGTCTAGCACTTCAGTGTTTGGGTTTTAAATGACATACAAGGCCAAAGTTATTATTCTGAATACTATAAAATATATGTCAAGGCACATCTAGTGTATAAGTAAATCTCCTCTCACTCCCAGCCTGACCCTTTCTCTGTTTTTTGAACTGATCTTCACAATAGAGTGAAATATTTCAGAAAAAATGTACATACAGGAAATACAATATTTATAGGCAATACAGTAAGGTCAGAATCACCCACGAAGACGCCAGGAAATTATAGAAGTGGTTACATGGAAAGGCTGAGACCCCCATATGTTTAACATTCAGGTTTCATAACAAACTTGGCAAAATAACAAGTAAAACGAAGCTTTGCATGTCACAGACAGTGGTTTCTTGCACCTCTTATTATTCCATGCTGTGAGAAGACACTGGCTCGTTTTTAACAAATGGGTTAAAAAAATGGTTTGCAGTGGAGAGTGTCTTATTTTGTCATTGTTTCCATGTCAATGATTAATATTAATAGCAAACTCTCAAGAA